TCCCATTTCTTCTTGTCAGCTCCCAATACCAAGAATCACTTTGTACCTGGGACCCCAGTGGCTACATCTGGCAGAGACTCAGATATGGGAGTCACACCCTCCTTCCTGTCCTCCATTATGATCTCTCCACTCTCACCCTCAGATACATAACAACCTGCATACATGTCCCTTTTCCCACCTCAGCTTCATTCACTGGAGACTCCAACTCTTGCTTCAGACCCAGGGTCACCCTAGCCCATTCAGGCCTATCTCTCCAGATTCTTCTTTGCCTTTGGTCAATCTATTTGCCTAAGGCACACCTTCTACCATACCTCCAACTCCCTGGGGACCCCATCTCTTGATGTAGACAGGATGTCCTTGACTATTTTCTGGAACAACTCTTTGGCCTTTTTCCTAGCCCACCTCTATTACTCTTTGCCACCCACCAACCTGCAGAAGCATTGTCTACTCAGAAACCACAACCACCACACTCTCCTATGGCCAAGAGAGGGCAACAGAAACCAAACAACAGAGGATCCACACAACAAAGACTAGATGTCAACACCTAAAATCACCTCAATCATCAAAAACCCAGAGGCCAAGACACCAGCATGGAAACATAAGGACTTCAAAGCAACAGTTCTGAATATGTTCAAGGACCTTCCAGAGGATATGGAAAAACCCTTAATGATGTCTATGAAAACACAAAGGAACAGTGAGAGACGTGATGAAAACAGTTCAAGACATGAAAGTCGACATGGAATGGCTAAAGCAAACCCAACCTGAGATAAAACTGGAAATGAAAGGAAGTCAAACTCAGACCTCAGAGTACACAACAGAGATGAGAGAATCTCTGGTGTTGCAGATAAGGCAGAAGAAATAGATACCTCAATCACAGAAAATGTTAAATCTCTGTACAGCTCAGAAAGCTTTGCTGGGTCACTAGCGATGGTCCTTGTGATAATTTCTATAGCTCTCTCTTGGTGAGAACAATTCCAGAGATATGATGTCCATGTCAGTGTTCAGTTGCCGCTGTAGAACTGAGTGTGGCACTATAGCATCTGAATTCTCAGCTGTCCTTGAATGTGCCTGCATGTTTTTCTTAATTTAAATATTGCTTCCCATTACTGAAATGACAAGTTGTCATTTTAAAACTGTGTTGACAAAGCATGGAATAGAAACCCTTTCTTCTTTTCCCGAATCAAAGTTCTTGGTCAGGATTGCACACATACAAACACACACACACACACACACACACACACACACACACACACACACACACACACACAGAGCCACAAAGATAAACATAAAGAGGGAGACAGAGAGAGACACACAGAGAGATCTCTGTAAAGGCTAAAAGTCTAGAACCCTTGGCTCCCAGATACTACATGTCACCCCTGTCACTTTTATTGCTTATGTTCCCACACCATTGCCTTGCTGATCCAAAAACAGCAAAGAATGCACCAGGGAGCTGGGATCAGGGTGAAATGAACAGGAATCATTTGGATTCTTTGGTTTATTTCCTAACACTAACAGTGTGTTGTATGTGATTAGGCACCAGAACCTGTTGGAAGCCTTTGTCCAGACTAGTGTCACAGCCTTCATCTACACCAGCTCAGTTCATGTTTCAGGGCCCAACACCTACAAGATCATCCTTAGTGGCCATGAGGAAGAACCACGAGAAACTACATGGTTTAATCCAT